TTTCTCTCAATATCCTTCTGAACAAAATGTTCAATAGACAAAGGTATAATGCAGTGGGTAAACAATTGGCAGATAGATTCAGTCAGCTCAAAAAGTTACAGTAAATGCAGTTATTTCAGGCTGGTCACCTATCACTAGTAGGGTTCCTTGGCAGTCCACTTTAGTGCCAGTCTTCTCTGTTTATAAATAATCTGGAGCTATTGACTCCTTTGAGGGTAGAGAGGTCTTGCAGAGAGATCTTGGCAAATCAGTAGGCTGGACAGTCACCAACTGCATGAAGTTTAACAAGAGCAGTGCCGGTTCTGCACCTGGGATGGGGCAGCCCTGGATATACATGCAGACTGGGGGAGCAGCTGAAGCCCCTGGGTTTGCTCAGCACAGAGCAGAAGAGCTGTGGGGAGGCTTCATGATGGCTGCAACTCCTCACAGGGAGCGGAGGGCAGCACTGAGCTCTGATCTGTGTGACAGCAACCGGGCCTGAGGGAACAGCATGGAGCTGTGCTGGGGGGTCAGGGAAAGGCTATGCCCCTGAGGGTGGTGGGCACGGCCCCAGTGCTGAAGCTTAAGGAGTGTTTGGACATCACTCTCAGCCACAGGGTTTGGGGTCAGTGATCTTTGTGGGTCCTTTCCAACTTGGGATATTCTGAGATGCTGTGTCTGATTATAGGGACCACGTGTTCAAAAGAAGTTTGCATGCAGTAACTCTTACCTCCTTCATCATGATAGAGAGGGAGTTTTTTTCCAAAGAGCTTCTCTTTTTTCCTCGAAGTTATTGTCAAGAGGAATGGTAGGCTGCATCACACTTTCATTGCCTAATTGGCCATTCAGACCTTTCAGAAGTTCTACCTTAGCTTGGAGAGCTGAAGGATGTCAATCTGTTCAGAAAATCTTGGCCTGGGTTGCATTGAACAAGATGAGTTCCAAAAAAAAAAAAAAAACACCAAAACAAACAAACAAAAAAAAAGCCAAGGAAGTGACTGGTTATCTATTATTCTACATGAATTCTACAGCAGGTTGTATATTCTATTCAGAAATTATCCTTCATAAGTTTTAAGAGACATCATAGTTGTTTTTCATGGAGTTTTAGAATGCTGTATTTCCATTGTTAAATGCATTAAAAATCCTTTGAATGCCTAGGCACTAACAGACTTCCCTATGCAAAGCAATAATAGAAAACTAATTAGCAAAACAAATAGGAAGATTACCCACCAGAGTGGAAGGTTTGGCCACAAAATGTGAGGTTTCATGCTGCCAAAGACTGAGATGAAAATAACTCATTTGAATGCAAAACAAACCACACAAGATGCTGGGTGCCTTCAGCTTCCATTGGCTTTGTTGGCAAGTAAGAGTATATCAGCATTCTCAGGATGCTCATAGCAGCAGATAGGATCACACCTCCTGAAATTGGCTAGCAAGCCAAAACTCACATGTAGTTGACTCCTATTTCTTGCCGTGACTTGATTTTGAATTTGGGAATAAAGGAAAGGGTTCTCAAAGGATTCTTGAGTTTATCTTATCAATTTCTTCAGCTCTGCTCTGACAATAGTGCTCCAGATGGGATAACAAGGTTTTACACAGTACAGAATCATCTGATATATGTTTCAGCCTCAAGTCTCAAGACAGACTGTATGCTATAGCTAGCCCATAAAATGAGTTGGTTTTAACTCCACAGGCTGCAGTAGCTAACACGTATCTTCAAGACAAGCTATCAACCTGCCTGTTTTCTCTTTTCTCTCTCCTCTCCCCAGTTCACCCCAACACATTAAGAGACAAGAGAGTATATATGGCCATTCAGGTTACTGCTCTGGTGTTTTGTTTCAAAAGCCATCAGAATTCTTCTTGAGGAAGAACTGGAGTTAGTAATGTCTAAGGTTCCATGTAAACATTCTTTTGCCTTTGCGTTTTGCATGTCCTTCATTATCTCATTCTGTTCTTGTTCTAAGTATCAGGAAGCAAAAATGAAGAAGAGTGCCATTGTATTTCATGTAGTTTGGTAAGCATCCAGTTAACCAAAAACTGGAAAGTGATTTCATTGGCATGTGTTACAAATCAAAAACTAAAGAATATTGGACTGTATAAAGAGTAAAGGAAAAGTATCTGCACAGTATTCACAGCTACAGTAATATTTACAGATGCATAATTTGTCTTTGGTCACATCAGTTTAGAAAATCTGACTACTTCAAATCAGCCATACACTCTAGGTCTGAAACTGTACTGCACATTTGTTTTCATGAAGCCAGAGACATCTCCACATAATTACTTGAGACTATTCTATGTCAATATAGTGGTTAAAATCTTCTAAATTAACCAATTGCATTTTTTCTTCTAGCACATATTTGTTGCAGCATCAGTGAGGACATATAGGGGTGAAGCTTGAAACCAAACATCCATCCATCTGTGGAGGTCTTAGTACCACTGAGGTCAAAACCAGTGGACTTGCTAATGTGGGTGTAAGCCATCCAGTCAAAGCATGGATGGTAATCTAATGATTTCACCCACACAAGAGGAGAACCATTCCCTTGAAAGGATCAACAGTAGCTGGGCTGTTTTAAAATACCATAATAAATGGTATTCTCTACGAGTGGGACATGATATTCAGTGTTACAACCTGTTTCCAGACAATGAGTTAATTAAACATTTAATGAATGCATCTCATTTCTTTGCACGAGCTCCACTCTAAACAACTAAGCTAATAACATAAACATCACAGTTGGATTATTAAAATGAGAGTCTTCATGAACACTGTCCCCCTGGCAAACAAAATGGCTGATACCGTGCAGAGGAAGCTGGGTCCCAATGAACCCACAGCTCAGCAACCCAGTTTTAACATTAAACCAGATTTATGGCTGACCATCAGCATTTAAAAAATTGCTAGGCAAACAGTTTTAAACAGTGGGTTTTTTTTGTTTGTTTGGTTTTTTTGTTTTTTTGTTTTCCACGTCTGGTTATTTTATTCAATTAATTAAGCAATTCATTTCAACAAATGATTGCCTTTAGGAGTTCTCCCTAATTAGAGATTCAGCACCAGCTTCAAGACATTTCCTCAAACAAACTCTGGTACCTCTATCAAATCAACAGAAACCAGGACCTTCCTTTAAGCCAAAGTCATGCGAGGACTTGCATCCAGAACTTTGAATTCATCCAGCAGTTAGCTGCTTACAAAAGGACTGTGCATTTGCACGAAGAACTTCAATTAAAAAACTATTTATATGGACACTTTTTTTTATCCCCCCATAGCTAAAAAAAAAAAAGCACTTTTGCAAAACGGTGACAAATCTCAAGAGTTAAAAACCTTAAGAGAAATAAGTTGTCAAAACATTTTGAAAATCTGACAAAGCTCTAATTCTTACAGGCTGCAATTCAATGACACTCAGAATATCGTCTTTTCAGTGCTGGAATAGCCAAGCCATGTTCTTTATTGCTTAAGCTTGTTTCTTTCATAAGAAACTTCTTTCTTCACTCTAAGCTTCTTCCATTTCTTGATGGAAATTTACAAGAGCATTTCCTATCTATTATGCAATTCCAATCAGCATCCCACCAGTGGCATCCTTCCATAGGCAGCACATCACCCGAAAGGAGATGTATGGTCCATATCTGACCTATTACATCACACTTGTTTTGATGGGGTCTTGATTAGATCTGCTACAATTTCTCACTTCTTCTCTCTTCTTTTGTCCTTGAGATCTGCAATGACTTGCACAGCTACTGAGTTTGTGCTTTACTGGCTTAATTGTTTGATTTTTTTTTTTTGGTTTTAGCATTTATAGTGGTACACCTCTGATACTTTGAAACAGCAGCCCCATTTTATTAAGGACTGCACATGATATTAGTCCTTTTGAGACTGAAAATCTTCTCCAGTACTTCTGCTTGGACACACTCCTTCCACCTCTACAAACAAAATGCTTTAACACAGAAGCAAGAATGGCAAAGAAGTTACAATTAAACCCATCAGTGGCTACCGAAACATGACAGCCAAGTACACTGTAAACTAAGTTGTTCCATTTGGAACAGGCTGCCCAGGGAGGCGGTGGAGGACCCGTCCCTGGGGCTGTTTGGGAAACACGGAGATGTGGCGCTCAGGGTCTGTTTGCACTCAAGCCCCCGCTGGCAGGGCTGCCAGCACTCCCATCCTCTTTGCAACACTTTACTGGCATGAGTTACAAGCAAAGAAATCCAACTACCGTTAAACAGAGTCTCTCGGGAAGGGGTTGCGGTCCTTCCTGCAGTCCAATGGACAGCGGAGGCTGCAGTGCGCTTCCTGCAGAAACGGCTTCGCGAAAAGCGACCTTAGAGCCGCAGGCTCCAACTAAGCTGGAGTTCGGCGCCGGCAACGCGGCGCTGGGTCTAACTTTGCACAGTCCAGAAACTGGAATCGGAGCAGCACCTCGAAACGCCTGCGATTCATTCGTTCCCTGCGAATTCGCAGAGCGGCTGCCCCGAAGCCGCCTCTTTTGGCACGGGGCAGCGGCACGAGCAAAGCCGCCCGCGGGGCCGGACGTCCCTCAGCGCCGCGAGCCCTCCGACGTGCCGCGGCGCTCGGGGCGGGTCCGGGCCGGACGGCGGACCCTCGCGGGGGCCGCGACGGAGCCGCCCCGCCCCATCCCGTCCCGTCCCGCCCCCGGCACGGCGGCCCGGGGCCCGTGAGCGCGGCGCGGGGCCGGGGCGGCCCTCCCGCCCGGTGCGCGGCTCCCCACCTCCCCCACCCCCCGCCCCGGGGTTCCGCGCCGCCCGCCGTCGACCGGGCGCGGCGCGGAGCCTCCGCCTCCCCGCGGCGGTCTCGCCCGCGGCGGGGCCGCCGCCGCCCTCATGGCCGCGCCGAGGTGCGCCGGCGAGGCCGCGCCGCAGCAGCCCGAGGCCCCGGGGCCGCCGCCGCCGCCGGCCCCGCCGGGGGATGACTCAGAGCCGCGGCCCCCGCAGCGAAGCCGCGGCCCCCGCAGCGAAGCCGCCGCTCCGCGCCCGCCCGTGCCCGCGGCCCCCGCCGCCGCCGCGCCGCTCCCCGGATGATGCCGCGGCGGGGGGCGGCGGGTCCTCGCCGCCGCCGGCGCCCGGCGCCCCTCAACGAGGACAACGGGCGGTTCCTGCTGCTGGCCGCCCTCATCGCGGCGTACCTGAGCGCCGGCGCCACCGTCTTCTCGGCCCTCGAGAGCCCGTCGGAGGCGGCGGCGCAGCTGCGCTGGAACCGGACCCTGCACAACTTCAGCCGCATCTTCAACATCAGCCTGCCCGAGCTGCGCGCCTTCCTGCGGAGCTACGAGGCGGCCATGGCCGCGGGCATCCGCGTCGACGCCCTGCGGCCCCGCTGGGACTTCCCCGGAGCCTTCTACTTCGTGGGCACCGTCGTCTCCACCATAGGTAGGTGAGCGCTGCCGGGGTCCCGCTCGGGGCAGCCCGGCTCCCGGGAGGGTCCCGCGGGGCAGCGCCGGGACGGCCGCTCCGAGCGCTGCGGACCGCCGCTGGGCGCAGTGCCGCGCTTTTCGTCTGTAAGGGCTGGCAAAGTTGACTCGCGTCTGAGAACGAAGACGTGAGATGTGCAAAGCCGCCCGCCGGGTAGCGCAGCGACGCGTCCCCTGAGCGCCGCTGGCCGCGGCTGGCGGCGGTTATCGGCGGCGGCTCGGTGGTTGGAAAGAGCGGTGCTGGATGGGAGAATGGTTTGGTGGGGAGGAATTTTATTTTACTCTAGCGTTGCCCCATTGAGAGCTGCTGGGAGATTCACCCCAGGTAAATTTAGACTGTCCGTAGCCCGCGGTGTTGCTTTAGGAGCCGTGTCCCTGCAGACACAGCGGGCTCGTTTCCTCACTCCGCCACTTTCTAAGTTCCATAACGAGCAAATTGCCCTGGGGCCGCAGAGCGTACACGTCGTGCTTTGCTTTATTAAAAAGAAGGAAGCGCACAGCTCCCTGTTGTGCTTACACTCGTTTGGTTCAGAAAACGTTTCATCTGTAGTGGCTGAGCTCTGTAGCACAGCCGTGATGATGACTGCAGCAGTGCTGTTAAGCATCGTTAATTTTTGCACTGAATAATTCCGTTAACTTTCCTTCTTAGAGTCCATTCGGTAAAACAGGCATTAAAACAACATCTTAATCTAACTTTGTTAGGCCTGCATCTCAGAAACACGCAGTTGTGAAAAGATCACAACTACTGAGCTGAACGGATGGAAAACTGAGTCGGTGCACTGTCAAACCAACAAAACGCTCTGTCCGTGCACCTGCAATAGCAGACAGAGGTGTGCACATGCAGACACATTCCCCTCTTTGCAGCCCCTGCCTTCTCTTTGGGATGGCCATGAAGATGTAAGATTTCTTACTCATTTGCAAACGTTTGTACCTCCACTTCATCCTGCTGTCTGCAGTCACTGCACCTTTGGGCAGAATGAAGGACTCAGTGGGGCTTTTCAGCACTCTCGGCAGGTGTAAACAGAGGGGTATGTTTCTCATGCTCCTGCAGTGCAACCTGGAGCACGGCATCAACATATACCCCAGGGGAGCAGCTCTAGAGCCTTCATACAGACCTGGTGGCTCTCACAGCCAGCTCATTTAGGTGCCCACCGATCTGCTCTGCCTTTGATTCTGCTGTCAGCTGTTATTGTGTTTAGTATAATAGTCATTCAGAGCAAATTCACTTGTGTTCATGTCATGATTCATTGACAAGAAGAAAGCTATCTTTACCTAACTTCACCTAGAGCTATCAGACATTTAGAGTCAAAACAACCTGCTTCCCCAACTGCCGTATCAGATACATGTGTCAAAGCAGCTTTATTACTTCAGCTGAACACATGCCTGTCCTAGCAACACACCAGAAAGCTTAACCAACAGAAAGACACTGTCTTGTAAAGGAGACATCACCCACGAGTTGCTCTCTCTCTTACCCGCAAAGGGTTCCAGCTTAGACGAAAGAAAGCTCACTGAGTGTCTTCAGGTCCTCATCTTCCCCACACCAGTTCTCACTGAGCTGCAGCCCCGTGCTGCTGGATGGGTACTCCACTCCCTCATCCCTTCACACAGTGAAGGCACAGGGTGGGCCTTCCATCTTCCTTGTAGGTGTGGGGCAGGGCTGGGGAGAAGCTCCCGGCCTCCACCTGGCTGGGTACATGGGCTCATTCTCCACCCTTCTGCAGCAGGACCTTTGCGCTGCTTCCATTTGGTGCTTCAGCTCCTAAATTTCCTTGGTGCAATTCTGCATCATGCATCATTACACCAAACACAGGGCACAGGCAAACCCTCGGGACAAGAAGCTCATCAGTGAGGTCTTTAGGGAAGCAGAATTAAAATGAATTGTTAAGTCTAATCTTTCAGCATTTTCCTGAATAGCCCACAAAGCGACTGCTGAATAGTGCACAGAACACCCTCTCGATTGTACTCTGGGCATTCGTGGTTTATTATTGCATTGTTTGTGGCTGAATAATGAAATGCCAAATCTATTTTTCATTAAATATGTCAGATTTTCAGAACTAGGCAAGAAACTTCTTAAGGCTGGTTTGTGATTGCTTGCTGTCAGTCTGCACCATTAATTCAGTCATTACTTTGAGCTTCCACAGGTATTTTCATATGTGCAATTTATAGTACTGCCGTTCTCATTTCTTTAAGGAGCACCTAGGTGAAGTTTATTCCTGATTCATTGGTTTGGCTGGCAGTAGAATTTCAAATTATTTTTTCCTTCCCCAAATGCAAATCACAAATAGTTTCCAGCACTTTCTTAAAGACTGAAAGCAGAGCATAATTCAGACAAGGTTTCTCTGTGGTATAATGTGAAGCACAGCTTCGTCAGTTATGGATTTTCCAATGGATGGCCATCCTACTAGAAAGTATACATTCTGCTTAGAACACATGGGGCAGCATCTGAAGCTCTGGATTTCTGACTCAGTCCATGAATCTAATTTCTATCAAGTTTTTTTTCTTGCCATAAATGTTAGAATAAAAGCCAGGTACTTGCCTACTAAAACATATTTAGACATTGGCCCCTCATGCAGTCAGAATGTTAAGTTTCTAAAATGTAAGTACACATTTTTGTACACATTTTTTGACATCTGTTGGAAAATCAAGTGGTGTAATTACTTTAGCAAAATCCATGCCAGGTGTAAAAAAAAAAAAGAAATAATACAAAAAATAGAGAGGTCAAACAATGTTTTCCAGTGCATAAAAATTAGTTTTCAACATAAGATTTTTAGAATGCACCCTCACTGCAGGTGGATTGTTTTGGAATAAGTGTGTTTAGGTCTAGGTTATAGGTGGTTAAGAAAAGGCCACTGGGTGTCAGTGGGGTTAGACCCTGTTTGCTCTGGGCCCTCTGTATGCACCCAGCGTCACCATCTCTGGCTGCTCTGAAACTTGGACAGCATAAGCCACCCTTCTAAAGCTCCTTTGGCTCTACGTCAAAGTTGTCTGAAGAAACCCAGAGGTCCGGATGTGCTGAAGGTGGCAGTTCAGTGGAAGCAAGATGCAAAAGGGAGGGAGTTGGGAGGCTCTGCAAGAACCTGATCAGATATTGGACTGTGATATCAGCAGCCATTGAGTTAGACTGCCCATAAGCATTTTGTGTGTTAATTTGGCAAGTAATTTCACAAATAACCTTGATTGTCTGAAGGGTTAAGGTGAAAATAGATTTGCTCTATCTTCTTTGGTGCTGTATTTAAGTGGTAGCTGGGGAATTTTCTGGCTATTTGCGGATGCAGTTTCATCATTTATATGGCCAGTGCAAACCCAAAGGTGGCAGCCCAAAGTGTGCTCCCAGTCAGCATCAGCATTGTGTTTCCTTGGGACTCTGCAATTCTGGGATGCTTTTGCAAAGGGTTCACATTAGGGAGCAGTTGCTTCCAGGTTTGAACCCGTTGAAGTCCAAACAAAAGAAGCAATCGGGAAAGTAGTTGGAAGAACAAGCAGTATTACTAAGCTGCAAGTCTGCTCAGTTTCTTTGCCACCCTCTATACAATCCAGGGCCAGCAAGAGAGTGTTTTCCAGTTTGGTCTGCTCTGGCCAGATTGGATCCCTTAGGCATGCGGGATGTTTTGATCACTATTTTGGCAAATCTCTCTCAGTTGTTTTCTTGCCTGTAGTCAGAGCAAAGGATGGGGATCAGCAGCTCAACGGCATATCTCATAGAATCACAGAACGGGTTGGGTTGGGTTGAGTTGCCCTCCCAGCCCCAACCCCAGGGGGCATAAATTTCTTTATCTACCACTGGTGAGAAGCTCCTGAATGTCTGGATATGAGGTGAAAGCTCCAAGCAGGAAAGTAATCTAAATCACAGTTTGTGGCTTTGTAGTGGAGAGTGGCCATGGGAAGCTGTACTTGGAGAGCATCCACATAATTATGCGGGTGACTTGAGGTGTTCCTGATGAAGGGTTTCACCTTAAGTTTATTTTGGGGGTGTTTTGATGTGTTTTTTGTTGTTGCAGTTTGGTTGGTTAGTTGGTCTTCCCAGGTAGCCTGTCCAGCCCCCAGCCTCTGCCATCCATGTCATTCCCCTGGATATCTCGCCCCTTTCCTTGTGTTACAGCTTATCTGACACTCTCCCATCACCCAGGCATTCTTAATTCCTCCAGCTTCTGCTCCCTCCTTCCCAATTAGCATGCCTTCCACTACTGATGTTTTATTAGATTTTGAATACTTGTTTTGCATCTTTGCAATCTTTCAAATTAATAACTATCAAAAAACAACTTGAAAGTAAAGCTTTACGTTTCTTTCTCTTCCTCATCACCCCAGTGTTAGTCCTGCTATTGACCCTTGTTTCTTTTTGCAGTCTAAATTTTTCTCCCTTCTCAGGCTGTCTTCTGTTTGTTGCAGAACATACAAACTCCTTCATTTTTTCTCACTTTTACAAGCATTCTGCCTTGCTTTTATGCAGACTTCAGTTGCTCTTCATTGTGAACAAAACAGAAAAATAATTATGGGATAGATCTATTGACTGTTAACTTCATGTAACAGTCAATGTCCACTCCTCTTGTTATGCTGGAAAATACGATGGATATCTTTATTTTACTGACTGCAGCAGTAATGTACCTTTGCAGCTATTGAAGTCACTGAGAATTTACAGCTGGTTGTAGTAGCAGCATGGTTAGAACAATGAAAAACCAACTTGGAACATTTCATCCCTATTTTTTTTTACTATGAAGACAGCTTTTTTTTTTTTAACTGGGAACATAACCTCTATCCATGGTACTGTGGAGTTTGCTTACCTTTATCAAAATAAATAGTTTTCATAGTGTGTCAGCACCAAGCACATATCTGAATGCATTTGGGGATGAGGTAGGTGAGGACATAGAATGAGGTTCACGCTGGAGAACTGGAGCAGATGAAAATCGTAATAGTGCTAGTAAAATCTTCTGTGAACAGAAGCATTTAAATAAAATAAAAATA